CTTGCCCTCCCACTAGTAGGGGTGTACTTAAAAATATAAGCAACAGATCTGATTTATGACATTTTATGCACCAGCATGAATTCCAAGTAACATATAAATCAGGAGCTATTCAGTGCAGCTAAGTTATTCTTGATTCATGCACTGATATTTTGCAGGTGTAAAGGCAGTGTACGTGAGAAGAGAAACAGGCTCAGTATCTGATGAAACTTTGCATTTGATTGCTCTGTGTCTGTAATCTTTGACACTTCCAGTATATGGACTTCTTATGGACCATGGACTATTTCTGAAGTGTCTGTGAAAGGTAGCCAAGAAAGGCAATCTGTTAGAAGACCAGACAGACGTGTACTTCCACCAGAAAATGCCTAGAGTCCAGAAAAATACCAGTTGCACTTGCTTTTTACAAGAGTACTTTGGAGCTCTGTCCTGATTTTCTGAAGTCAAAGAAAGCTTTGCTCATGACTTCAGCAGCAGCAGGATGTGCTCCTACTTAGCATATTCTTGTTGTAGTCCAGTTACTGAGCCACGTAGCTGTTGCTGCCTTGGCTGTTTGAGTGGTCCTTTTGCTAACAGATTGGTTTAAATATGTCTGCTGAACTTGTAAAAAGGGCAGAGTAGTACTGAAAGGTCCATGAATTTCCCTCTGGCTTGGGCATGGTACAAACAGCTGGAAGAGCCTCTTTAGTGTCAAACCCTCCATTACCTGAGATAGAGCTTGGTGGTGCCTGAGGAGGCAACGGCAGAATCCGCTTGTGTTCCTTTGTTTCAAATATGCTCACTGTCTGCCCATGTTTATGATGGGGTAGATCTTGCAAGCCAGAGCCTGTTCATTTGAGCTCTTGATCTCTGAGGAATGGACCCTCCCTGTGTACGGTTTCTAGGGAGCCAAACTGGTGTGGGTGCCACTGCAAGTGCATCAGCCAAGGGACTGTGGTAACGATGACACTTAACTATGTATCAGATGAAGAAGAAAATTTTGGTTTCCACCTGAATGGTGGAGAAAGAATGCTTGGAGGCTAATTTCTCTTAATGGATGGCTACAGACCTAGGACATGTGCCAGGGGTTACTGCTGTAGACAGGCTGTGCTAGTAAATTGAGTGCGCTTGTGACTGTTTCTTGGCACTGAGACGGAATGGCACGGAACAGCCTGTGTCCAGACTGTTAAACACTTCTCGCCCTCTGAAACAGGATGGTTGGATGCAAACTGCCCAGTGGGAATGATTCCTGATCAAGCTAACTCCTGAAATGTGCCTGAGAAGCTGCTTGACTTTGGGTCAAAACCCAATCAGAGATTATTCTAACAATTCGAGTGTACAGAGGATGAAGATGCAGTGCCCAGTGACAGTACCCAGCAACTGCTTAATTTGCTGCATGTTAATCAGTGGGGATGGTCTACTCAGATCTACTTAATTTCTGTTTGATAACATAAAGACAAGATTGCTTAAGTTGTCAGAAAGGTGGTTTTTTTCTCTTCCTTTGCTTTTTTTTGTTTTCCTCCTCTCATTTTCCCTAGTAGTCCAAAGCACTGAGCTAGGTGATGAAAACTTGAAGCGTTCGAACAGTGGTGGGTTTGGGTTTT